CAGTTGTCGGAGGACGCAGGCATTAACCTATCAGCATATGCACTGTGAGTCAGTCGCTCCTTGGCTGAAATTCACGTAACGTAACTGAGATTTTCGCCCTCGCCATAGTTTTGAATTTCTGCGTTTCAGAACTACTGAAAACCATGCGCGTTGATCCTTCCCCCCCCTCCCCCCTTCCACCTCGTTCTCCTCCTCCCAACCCCCCTCTCCCCTCTACTCTCCCCCCCTTATTTTCCATCCCGCCCGCGCCCCCCTCCTCCCCGACAACTCCACCGCCCTCCCTCCTGCCCCCCCCACCACCACCACCACCACCGCCGCGTCTCGCCGTCGATTCCCAGGGCAGTGTCTGGAAGGTTGCTGGATGAGAGGAATGCCTGTTCAACGGCGCACCGCTGCGCTTGCGCGCGACCCAGCGCCGCCCGAGCCCTGGAGTTCGGCACGAGGAACTTCTCGATCGGCTCTCCTGCGCTCGACTTGAGCCCCTGCAGACGCGAGAAAGATTATGGGGGCCTCGACTTCCTGCGCGCGCTCGGCGCCGCCCGTGTTCTCCTTGGCCCCGCGCGTCTTGTCGACGCCGCGGTGGCCCTCCTCGAGGCGTTCAATCTGGGCCTCCAGCTCGCACCCGACGTCGCCCAGAACGCCCGCGGGCGGCTGCTGGGCGACCCCGTCGAAACGCGCCGTCGCGTCTTTCGGGCGCGCCTCGGGGGCGACGACCGCATCCCCGATCTTCCTGCGCGCGCCCCGCGGCGCCTCGCCCGCGGGGGCCCTTCGGCGGCCGCGCGCCGGAAGCCAGCCCGCGCGCGATCTGTTGCTCGGCCGACAAATCCTGCCAGGACGGCTCGCTGGTCTGCGCGGCCGCGCGCCCCGGCCCGACCCCGGCGTCGCGGCGGGCGCGGGGGCGCTGTCCGTCGACCCGCCGACCCCCCCCCGCTGTCCGCAGCGATTGCCGCGTCGCGGCCCGTCGTCAAAATTTTCGAGCCGCTCCCTGTGGACGTCGAAGACGTGGCCCAGTCGCTCGTCGTTGCCGCATGTTGTTTCCTGATGCCGGGTCTCCTGGTCGCGCCGAATCCCCCCGTTTCCCCCCCGTTTCCGTAGCGATTGCCGCGTCGCGGACCGTTGTCCAATTTTCGAGCCGCTCCCTGTAGACGTCGAAGACGTGGCCCAGTCGCTCGTCGTTGCCGCATGTTGTTTCCTGATGCCGGGTCTCCTGGTCGCGCCGAAGCCCCGGTCGGAGCGGGCCTGCCGCCGTCCTTTGCGAACGCGTCGTCGACCAGCCCCGCCCCCCTCGCCCTCTTGCCCGCCAGGTGGCGACGAGCCTCGTCGAGCTGCGCCATGACGCGAAGCGCGTCGCGAAGCTGGGCTAGCCGGCTAGCCTCTTCATCTTCACTCGGTCTCCCTGCGCGCCCCCTACCGCCGCGGGGTTCCCATCGATTGGCCCTGCCGAGTCCGCTGCGGACCAGTTGGGTGCCCCGGCCATCCTCGCCGAAGTCGAGGGCCTCCTGCCGCGGCAGGCTTGCCGGGAGCTGCCGCTGGTTTCGTGCGAGCTGGGCCAACCCCATCATCGCTGCTGTCCTCCCATTTCGCTTCCTCTGCGAGCCCTCTTGCCAGCTCTTCCCAGGGCTCTTCCTGCTGCTCTTCCGACTCCTCGAGGTCCTCCGACTGGCCGTTTCTGCCGCCGTTGACATCGCGGCCGGCCTCCAAAAGCGCCGACGAGTTCAAGCACCGTCGACGCGCGCTGGCCACCGAGCGTAGGGCTCGAGCCAGAGCGGCTGCACGTACAAACCAAGCATCTGTCTGATATCAAGCTTAATCGCTCCTGCATGTGCGCATGTGGTTTCTCTTTGGCCACTGTCTCCGCTCCTGTTGGGCGGGCGGGGGGCGCCGTTCTGCAGCGCGACCGATGCGTCGCGGGCCGGCGCCCTCGGTCTCGGGGCCCTGCCCCCTTGTGGCGGCGCCCTCTGTTTAGCCGCCAGGCGCGAGCCATCCACGCCTTGCACTTTGCGCTGCGGGAGTTTGATTGGGCCCCGCAGCTGTCTCGTGGCTCGAGCGAGCCCCCGCGGGCCCCCGCGGGCCGAGCCGCCCGGCGTCGGCGCCGCCTCCGCCGGCCCGTCGACGGCGTTCCCGGGACAGCTGGGCGTGATAGTAGCGCGGGGCACGCGTCCGCGGAGGTTGGGGCGCGCGGGCCGCGCTGGGGCCGATCGCGTTCGCATCGTTCGAACAGGGCCCCCGGCGACCACCGCAGAGCGCACCGCGTGCGTTCGTTCGCTTCAAAACGAATGTCGCGGCCCAGGGCGCCCTGGAGTTGCGTGGCTGAATATGGCCTGCCGGCGAGAAATCCAGGTCGCGCTGGCGAAGGTCCCCGAATTTCCTGGCCCCCGGGGAGACGCGACGGCTGCCTCCCAGAAGACCGCGCAGAAGAACGCCGCGTTTCCTGGGCGTCGTTGCCCCCCATGGCCGGAAGGGTGGATGGCGAGGGCGCCCCTGGCGCCGCCGTCGGACGGGCGGCCAGCGAAGGTGCTCGCGCAGGGAGAGAGGGCCGAGCTGGTCGAGTTGAGCTGGGGCGCGATTCCATTGGCTTTGTTGCTGCGACGCGCCGATCGAGCGGGACCTCGAATCGAGCGGGGACGAGCCGACCGATCAGGGCCCCGCGTCGAGCCCCGGGCAGCCGATCGAATGGGGCAATGCGCCGAGCACTCGGCGGCCGATCGAGAGGGACCTCGCGTCGAGCGCGGGGCAGCCGATCGACGAGGGCCTCATGTCGAACGCGGACGAGCCGATCGACGAAGGCCTCAAGTCGAGCGCGGGGCAGCCGATCGGGGAGGGCCTCAAGCCGATCGAGAAGGGCCTCCAGTCGAGCGCGAAGGGGCTAATCGGAGAGGCCTCAAGTCGAGCGCGGAGGAGCCGATCGGAGAGGGCTCCGCGCCGAGCTTCTCGAGGGCCTCGGACCCGGGTGGTCTTTCGCGGGGGGGCGACGAGCTGGCAGCGCCCGGCGAGACTATCGTCGGGGCGAGCTCGGGTGAGAGTGCTGGGGCATGGAAAAAGATTGGGCTCTCAGGTGCTGTGCGCTGTCCTCCCGCCGCCGTCCTTCCATTGTTTTTTTTGTTTTTGTTTGGGGGGGTCGTTGCTCGCGCGAGCGTTGCCGAAACTCGGCTGCGCGCCCAGAGTGCGTGGGTCGAGTTCGGATCGGAACTCAGCGCGGGCAAAGATTTTTCCAGTGCAATACTGCCAGTATAATCTGAATGCTGGCAATACTTCTCTCCCTCTCTCTCTCTCTCTCTCTTGTCCAGGCCGAATTATCTTCTGCTCTGGCCTCAAGTCCCTCTCTCGTTATCCACTGCTCCTGCTTTCACCCCTTCAAGATTGCGTGAGGCTCAAGCTAGATGACCGAGTCAGGGTAGGGCGCGTGCCGAGCCGATTGACGTCGCTTTTTTAACCATGATGGCCGCGCCTCCGACAGAAACATTCCGATGACAATCACAATCGGGATCGCATTGCCACGCGAGCTGATTGCAACGCTTGGTATCAGTGCGTCCCACACACACATTAACACGGATAACAATTATGGTATCAATGTTTGGCCATGGTCGGCCAACTTTTTCGTTTGATGACAGGATTCGCATGAGCCCTAACTTGAAATATACATGCACCAAAATGAAGTTTTAATCTAACAAGCGGTCGAGCCCAACGTATGATCGAACCTGACAAATCAACCCAACTGAGTCAACAGCCTAATCTGCAAGCGGCCTAGCCCAATACACAGCCCGACCACACAAACCAACCGTCGAACTGATTGCTTAAACCGCCGTTTATGTTTGAAGGCAACGGGCCAGTTGAATCTTACGATTCAGGGTGCCCGTGCGGATCAATATTAGGTGCGTGTGTGCGGATTCAATGAACCAGATTCGTTGGATATTAAGATTCGTTAGTTATATATGATCCCCGAAGGTAGAGTTAACCGAATTCGCTGAATTTTCCAAGTGGTTGTTTCAGTCGCGTGCAGTCTTGAGGGAGGAGGAGGAGGAGGAGGAGGAGGAGGAGGAGGAGGTGGAGGCGGAGGAGGAGGACGAAATGCGAGTTGGAAACCGATGTTCTCCGTCCCGGCGCCGCCGATGCGTCGCCGATGCGGTACAACCGCCTGGCCCCGGTTGTGCCAATTTCGGGGGGGATACGGGCTCCCGGGGACTTGTGTGGCCTTCTTCATTTACGTCCACTCCCAAAGTCTGCGCACGAAGCTGACATATGCTCAGGAAGCGGACGTCCGAGCGATGGCAAGAGTGGTCGTGTTGCCGTCTCACGGCCTGGCTCACCCCCGTGCCAGACGCGGCGCGGGAGTCGGCTTCGCCCGCCCCGCTCCCTCCGCAGTTTCGCCGATCGCGTGCCGGCCGTTTTGCTCACGGGCGTCGGGGTCGGGCTGGTCGGTTCCTTCCCCTCCTCCCTCGTCCTCGTCCTCCTCCTCCCCCTCCGCCGCCTCCTCCTCCTCTTCCTCCTCCTTTTCCTTTTCCTCCTCCTCCTCTTGCTCCTCCTCCTCCTCCTCGTCCTCCTCCTCCTCCTCCTCTTCCTCTTCCTCCTCCTCCCCCTCCCTCTTCCTCCTCCTGTTCTTCCTCCTCCTCCTCCTCCTCCTCCTCTTCCTCCTCCTCCTCCTGTTCCTCCTCCTCTTTTTCTCCTGTTCCTCCTCCTCTCTTTTTCCTTATCCTCCCCGTCCTTCTCCTGCTCCTTTTCCTCCTCCTCTTCTCCTTCTCCTCCTCCTCCTCCTGCTCCTCCTCCTCATCCTCCTCCTCCTTGTCCCCCCCCTCCAGCAGGAGGGAGATGGACGTTCCCGCGAGCCGCCTAGCCAACCGGTGACAGGCCCGGCCGCCTGTGCAGGTAGGTTCTGGGCCTAGACTCTGCTCCAGAGCTTTTCCAGGGGGCCTTTCCAGGGCGAGTTCCGCTGTGTCCCCTCCTCGCCGGGGGGAGGAGCGCGACTCCCGCCGCCGCCTGCGGTGTCGGCCGCGCCGGGCCAGAGCACGAGGTCTGGGAGGACTCCGCCAGAAGCTGGTGGCTCCTCGCCTGGGCCGTCACCTGGTCGCTGCAAGTGCGGGGCCCCGAATCTACACATGTACACCACCACCGCCTCCCTCACTCCCTCCACCTCCCAGGAGAAAGGGGAGGAAGAAGAGGCTAGAGGAGGGAAGGGATGATGAAGGTTGTGGCGGTTCCCTGAGACCCAATGTCGTGTCTTTTACAACACGGGGCCCCTGCGCCCCTGGAAGTTTGGACCCGTTCCCCGGGACCGGTTCCTAATGCCGAGTCGTTTTTGGCCAGTCTTGGGGCCCGGCGAGGGCTTCTAGAGGCCGAAAACGGCGAAGCACTTCCGCCATGTTTTGTCCTATTCGGCGAGGGTCTCTCATAGCGGCCGAAACGGCGAAACACTTCCATCTTAATGTTGTTTATTATTTTTGGATCGTCAGGGTGCATGTTCTCTCTTGGCATCGCTCGGGCGTGTGCATTGTTTCTCGGCGAGGGCCACCGAGGAGCATCCTGCATCGTCTTGCGAAACAAAGGGCGCGCACGACACCGCCACTTGCACAGGGGAGTGTGGCGCCCGAGCGACGGCACACTCTTGGCTCTTGGTGATGCACCGACCTCCCCCACTACCACTACCGCAGGCAAGACCTCCTCCCATCTCCTCCTCCTCCTCCTCCTCCTCCTCCTCCTCCTCCTCCTCCTCCTCCTCCTCCGCATGCAGAGGGGAGGAGCAGGAGGAGGAGATGGAGATGGAGATGGAGGGGGAGGAGGAGGAGGAGGAGGAGGGAGGAGGAGGAGGAGGAGGAGGAGGAGGAGGAGGAGGAGGATGGAGGTCCTCCTCCTCGCTCGCCCCTTGGCGCCCGCCGCAAGGCGCCCTTCTGGCTCCGCGCGGTGCCCGCCTCGTCGCCCCTGCTGCTGCTCGAAGAGCTGAGCCTTGCCGTCGCGCTGCATCAGGCCCGCCCCGCGGAGGGCGCGAGGAGGAGGAGGAGGAGGAGGAGGAGGAGGAGG